GTCAACCACGATGTTTTCCCAACACTAATGAAGTGGTTTTGTTGACCAAACCTATAACCGCTGACCCCTTGTGTCAAGATACAGTGCAAAAGGCTGCCCCATGACTTCTGCTTGAGTGTCAAAATATGATGGGTAGGGATGAGGTCATGTCAGTGAAGTAAAGTGATGATCTTCACAACTAATGTCATGGCTCTGATTTATACTCGAGTGGCATCATCAAAATAATAATTAATCTGTTTCCTGCTTTAAATTGAGCTTAAAGGCAGTGTTCACTCCAAAATAAAAAAATACACATCTTTCTTCCTACCTGTAGTGCTAATTATCTCTCCAGATTATTTTGGTGTGAGGTAAAGAGTGTTGGAGATATCAGCCGTAGAGATATCTGTCTTCTCTCAAATATAGTAGAACTAGATGGCACTCGGCTTGTGGTGCTAAAAGCACCAAAAAAAGCATTTGAAAAACTCAACAGCAATGTCTCTTTCCAGAAGACTTGACCCAGTTATGCAAGATAATGCACAGTGAGCAGTTTCATGAAGGAACTATTTTCTTCCTACCAGACTACACCCACCAACCTCATGCAGAAGGAGGTGCGCATCTACCGCTAGCGCACCTATCACAACTGAGCTAGCTAACTTTACAGCTCAGCTGAATAAGACACCATTAATGTTTACATATACAACCATATCACTGTGCAGAGGGAAGCATGCATCTACCCATGGAGAGGAAGCTCCATGGGTAGATGCACATTAATGGTGGCACCCTCAGCTGAGTTGTAACATTAGCTAGCTCTGTGGTGCTAGGTGAGCTAGCAGTAGATGCATGCCTCCTTCTATGTGGTGACACAATTGGCGGGTGTAGTTTGGTTGGAAGAAAATAGTTCCTACATGAAACTGCTCACAACTGTGGATTGTCTTGAGTAACCAGGTCATGATTTCTGGAAAGAGACATTGCTGTTGAGTTTTTCAAATGTATTTTTTGGCACTTTGAGCACCACAAGCTGAGTGCCATCTAGTTCCATTATATTAGAGAGAAGGCAGACATCTCTACAGCTGATATCTCCAACACTCTGCAGCTCACACGAAAACAATCTAGACTGATAAATAGCACTACAGATATGAGGAAAAGTATGTATTTTTGATTTTTGGATGTCCATTTAATGTGCACTCGAACTGCAGACACTCTAAAGGCCTAGTCTAGTTATTCTATGACTGCAGTTCACAAGTACTTCATGGCTAATTGGACCACTTGACATGTGAAAGTGCTAAAATCCCATGCCTTAACAACAGTTATACACAGAGCCCATTTTTTTTGGAGACTAGTTTATATTCTGCTTATTGACTTTGTGAACTTGCTTTGACCTCATTCTTTCAGGCAGCTCTGACAAAGAAACACACATGGGATACAACACTAAGTCGAGCCAATTTGACTCTACTTGTACACTGTGTTACTTAAATTATTGCAATCCTCTGGTAGTCGACATGACTTGGATTTAGCTGCTAAGGCGTATGTCACAGTTGGCATTCATTTAGGGTACTTTATCACATCCGAGGCTGGCCAAAGGACACTTCTACAGTAGCACTCTCCTTCAATGGCTTTCCTTTTTATTGGAGCCAACCCCCAGCTCTCCACCCCCGCCCATGAGTAGTGTTTCAATAACAGGAAACAATCGGCCATCGTCTTTCATCACAGGTTGACGCTGGTTCCCGCTAGGTGCCACTGGGTCTCTGTGGTGCCAGCCAGCCAGCCAGCCCTCCGCAGTCTACAGCAGAGGGGAGAGAGAGAGAATAAAGTGTATGCGCCAGCTGACTCGTTTCCTTATCGTCCTCCAAGGGGGGGATCTGACGCATTCACTTGCAGCAGTAATATCCGAGACTGATACGAGATGAACAGAGGCCTGTCAGCCTTACAGAGTCGTTAATGTACATTTACAATCCCAGAAGGCGTTTAATTGACAGGGCTTTCATTATAGAAACATTCCATTTGCAAAAGCATATTTCAACTTGCATATCTTTAACTTGCATGTAACAAAGTGCAATTAGGATTCACTTAAGGGGGTGATCCTGGTTAATTTGACATTGGAGCCACAGTGCTGCATGGAATTGTCTTTAACAGTCTGGAAAGGGATTGTTTCTGGGCAACTAGTTCTTTTTACTTTGGCACAGCAGAAACAGAAGTATCATGTATGCATGCATGGGCTATACATGCATGCATACTATATGTCTCTGACATGGTTTAATTTTTTTGTGCTGCCATGTACCCCAGAACATTTTCCATCTGATTTACTTTATTAATGTCAAGCCAACTAAAAAAATGACCCTTTTTTAAAGTAGGTGATACCAAACTGGTATGTGATATTCACGGCTGATTGCACATTACTGTCCTTGTAATTATGTCAGACTCTGCAGCTACAGTAAGTGCACACAATTATATAGCGTGCACACTATTTTTAGGTTCTTATCTGCCTTGGCCGAAGCCTTACAGAGAAGGTTACATTTGCGATTTGCTTAACAGCCAATTTCTATGGACTTTAGGCCTGTTTCAAAGAGTTAACCATTAGTTCTGCAGGTACAGGTGAAAAACATATTATTCTATTGATACCTATATGACAAATAAATAAATGTTTACTGAATGTGGGCTGTTTTTCGGTATGGGTTCTATCTTATTCCTTTTAAAAAAGCTGAAAAGTGAAAATAGCTTGCCATTCCCTTACTGCTGGGTCTTTGCAATGCTACTTTATTTTGATGTGATCATGCAGCATAGATGAGAAGATAATTTAAAATGAGAACTTCACAGGATGCCCAGCAGCTCACCTGATAGAGCAGGCACCCTGTGTACAAAGGCTTTGTCCCTGCCGCAGCGTTCAGTTTCAGCCCATGGCCCCATGCTGCCAGTCATCCCCCTATGTCTCTCTCATTTCATGTCAATACTGTATTATTGATTAAAAGCAAAATGCCTTTACAAAAAGATGAGAACTTCATATAAAAATGTTCAACTCCTACACCAGTGATACATAATAAGAAGCCCTTGGGCAAAATCTGGCAAGTGACAGGGTGCCAGAGGAGGGTCGAACCCCACAACAGAGGTCCCAGCTAGGCCCCAAATGTGCTCAAATACTAGAAATGCTCCTCTGTACAACTGACTTGTGCAGGGCTTTTGCGACTGACCCCTGGCCACCTGTCATTTTACAAAAGTGGCGCCCACTTAAGTGTCCCTGTCCTACACATATGACCTCTGAAGAGAAACTTGGGTGTTTTTAAGCTTGGACCCTATTTTCCAATGTTTTGTGTCTCGGTGACTAAAAGGAACAATTTTTGAAATTGGTCCAGTAAAACGCTGCCACCAGCAAACATGAAATTGGCTGCAATAAGCACTAGGGGTGATATCACATCACCAAAGTGTGTATGTTTTTGCCACTGACAGAGTCTTATTGTTATTTTAAGTGTGGGACAACATTACAGAAAGGATCCCTACAGAATAATAAAACATTTTTCCTTAACTTATTTGCTTGATTTGGTCTGTTATTATTGTCTTCCTGACAGCGCAACTGTCTCCGGAACTAGACTTCTCCTTGAGCAAGACTCAGGGTGCTTTCACACTTGCCCTGCTTGGTTCGGTTCAGTTGAACTCAAGTTTGTTTCCCCCCTGAGTGTGGTTCATTTGGGCAGGTGTGAATACAGCAATCGCACTTGAGTGTGCACCAAAACAACCGGGGGGAGACCTTCTTGAAGAGGTGGTCTTCGCTTTCTCATGTAAGGTATTTGATCTGGTCCGCTTGTAAATACTGCCGTAAGAACGCGAACCAACTCTAGGCAATGATGCAACTTTGTAACAAAATTAGTCCCTAATTCAGACCAAAGCAAGCGAACACTAGGTCTGAAAGCACCCTAAGTCAGACAAAATAACCAACAGACCACATCAAAAGAAAGCTTTCTATAATGTTGTCAGACACTTGTAATAATAATCTAAGCTTGTCAGCCTCAAAAACAAGTACTTTTAGTGGACGTATGTTGATTGTGCATAATTGCCCCAAAGGATTACATTGCAACCCATTTCGCAGCTGCTGGCTGCAGGGTTCTCGCTCAATACTGGTCCAGTCTCAAAAACTGTCTTGAGTGGTCACTTAGGCACAAAAACATGGGAAAATAATGTCCAACTTAAAAAATACACAAGTTTCCCTTTAGGTAAATTGTCACTTGCTCAATTGTTTTGTGCTTGGCAGTTCAACTAGTCATCTTCAAACTTAATTTGTTCTAGGTTAACTTCAGTTGTGATCCCTAAACTGCAGGACTGTAGATGAGTCCACGCATACAGCGAGACATCGGCTCATAATCTCCTCTCTCCCCCACGTTTACAGACATGTGTCTCTTTCTTTTTCTCTCTGCCGTACGTGATAAATAACACTGCCACCTCCTTTCTTCCCCTTTGTTTTGCACCTTTATTAGGTAAGAGCAGCATTCCTAGCATTCAAGCAGCATCCTCGATGGCTTTATGAAAGTGCTCACAGACGCCTTTTCTTGATTGACTTTCCGATAGACACATCCTGTCCCCCTTTAGAAGCCATTTTCCTCTTCCTCATCCCCCACAGTGCGCTCATGATCAGAGCTCTCCTTGGAGGCTAGTCCGGATACCTGTTGCAGTGTTTGCTCGGCCAGCTGGATGTGTGTATGCAAGTGTGAGGAAGGTGAGAGGTAAAGGAAGACCTGTTGATCATCATGGGCTCAAAGGAAAAGTTATAATAACAGTGGTGAAGTGCGGCCGTGGCAGCGTGTCCTGTATCCTGTTGTGTCTACATGCTCCTGCACCTTGACCATGATGTCTGGATAGTGAAGCGTTTCCTTTTTCAACCATGATGCATTGTCAAAGTCCCTTGTTAGTGCGTGTGTGTACATGTTTGTCCAGGATTACTGCCAAAATCAATCCATCAAAAAGTAGTTATAAAGGACTGCATGTTGCACTGGCATTTTTCAAATATTCAAACACAGTCACAGCTCGTAAACTAATTCATTTTTCCCATATACTTTAATTTTCTTACTTTTTTTTAATATATCACTTTATAGACACCTGTTACATGTGTTCATCTTCATGAAAAAAGTAAACCGTTTCTGTGCTTTAAATATAGTTGTAAATGGATTAATATAAAATAATGTATGAAGTCCATGGTGGCTGAGAAATTTTAAAAGGTCTGTGTATTTACATGGAGACAGAGTTTCACCAGTTTGCACACAGTGGGTGATCTCTGCTGTTGTTCGGTGGCACAATTATAAAGGACCCTATAATTTTCTCATAGACTCTATATGGCAGGGTTAAAGCAAGGGACAAAAACATTATGTAAAGTGCATGTTTGTCCCCAGAGTGGTGCCTTAAAGGTTAGGAGACGGTAACGTTGACACCTCCTGCGTACAGCACCTTTTGAGATGCCACTTGGATGCATCCACATACATGTTCAGCACAGAATGGAAGCAAGACTTACATAAAAAAAAACTGATTTCCAGACGCTACTTTTAAGCATTTTCACTGTTGTGTGTGAGCTTAAACTTATAGATTCCTATTGCTGGAGTAGGAGTAGATTTAAGGCATCTTTGATCATTAATGGCCGCCTTTTTTTTTTAAACCAAGATGAGTGGGAAGGGGATTATTTCTGTTGCTGTTCATGTTATGTCCTTATGAAATTGAGACTGATAAAATAAAATTAAAAAAAAAAATAAAACAACAACAACCAGACACAGCTCATCTAGTTATGTTGTTTTACTACAGTGCATCAATAGCCTTGGAGACTTGGGAGAAGACCTCATCCACTGCCAGCTCAGAGTCGACCTAGGATATGTAGAATATATGTTAGATTTTACACACAATTCACAGTTTATTCAAAGGTTCAGTGTGAAGGATTTAGCGGGATATATTGGCCAAATGGAATATATTAAGTGTTTTTTTGTGTATACCATAAAACTTAAATTAAAAGCCTAGTACTAATTAAATGCCCAGTCCCTTTTACTTGTCTGGTGTTGCTACACATTTTGACTGTCTCAATTAAATGCCTGGTCTGTCCATTCCTTGACTACCCTGTAAGTTATTTATATTCCTTTAGTCCATAAGGGTCCTCAGATCAAAAGAATCAAAGGGTTTGTCATAAAAATGAATCCAAGTTGTTAGTATTGTTTCAACAGCATGGGGTTGTGTCGGTACGCCGGGTGACATAATCCTCGACTGTCGTAACTCTCTTTCTCTGATCTGTCGGAGCTAGATCAAATGAATGATTCAGAATTGGTATGTCATAAGTCCCAAATATAAGCCCATTGATTTCAGTGATTTAAGCAAATAATAGCCTGAGCTATTAATTGAAGTTTTACGGTAATCACCTGACAATAAGAATCATGGTGTTTTCAGTACTTTGGATGTGTTTATCTATATAGGGACTGGGTCATCACTGATGGAGTCTGCCATGTTTCACTGATCCTACCGTAGCCCAGAACAGACAAACCTTGCACTTGCTCTAGATAGGGCCATTTGGGTTTTGGGGGTTTTGCATTGGCCACTGTAGTGCCAAGAAGACATTAAGAAACTGCTTAATTATGGGTTTTTACTGGTTTTAATCACCTAAGGCCTGCACCAAGAAGCCAATTCACCATACTCTGGATATATTTTCATTATCTGGCTCTCACTGACCCAAGCATTGGCTGTCTGGATAACCGCTATCATGGAACTGGTTACCAACTAGCTCAGTCAACTCAGGGTTTTCCTCTCTTGCCACACTTGAAAGAGGCAGGGTTGTTAATCACAAGCAGCATCAACAGAACCATGAATGAAGTAGCCTATGAAACTGTTCTATTAATGGGACAGCAAAAAGTCATATTCATCAGAGTGTAATGTTGTCTAGAAAGACTAGAAATGATTTCCAATATTAAAAGTTGGCCATGGCTTAATAAAGGTTTAGGTATTATTGCATATGAAATAAGACAAAGTGAGTATTTTTACTATTTAGTTTGAAAATGAAGAAATCGCTTGGAGTATGTCACATAAAACACTTTAAAGTGATGCCAGACTGTTTCTGCTACTGAAGTAAAGAGTGGAAATGTAGCCCGGTACCACAAGGTCCTTCTGACTGAAGTGCTGCATTAACAACAACAGGAGCCAATTAATAGTGAGAGGAATTTTTCTTGTAATATAATATAATCTGTCTTTTTTTATTTCCAGTTTTCATAACACAGGTGTCTCATTAATTTGAGCTGTAGCGATAGAATCCAAGAATAAAACAGCCACACTGTCAGCTGTCACTCTGGGGATAAAGTAAACTTTGCATAAATTAAAATGCAGGTAAAATCATAATCATCATAATGTATTTAGTGTTGTAAAAAATCCCTCTGTTTGTAGAGGCTCTGTTTTAAATCCAGAGTGAGAATAGAAAACTGGAACAATGAAAATGTCACTCCAGACCTTTGTCCATGTCGGGATACTTTTTTATTCAGTGATCCGATTGGTCAGAGGTTGGGATGTTGACAGGTTGTAATTCGATACTCTGAAGTTAACCTGCTCCGGAGAAGGTTAGCTGTTCAGCATAAGTTACCATGGTGATTTAATCCTGGTAAAAAGTGAACCAGTTTAGTTACCTCACTAACCCCAAATCCTGCTTCATAGTACAGGCCTCTGGTCTGTTTCTTTTGGAGAGGAAGAGATCTCTATAGATAATTTGGCTGCTAAAAAACTCCCGAAAAAATGAACACTAAAGGAATCCTCACCAGGAGTTCACACTTGGCACATGGGAGAAGTTTCAGTTGGTTGCAATCTGCAGTCCTCACCACTAGATGCCGCTAAATCCCACACACTGCTCCTTTAAAATGTTTACTATCAGAGCATTCATACGCACCTTCCTGACAATGCCACGGCCCTCGTAAAAGGCGATGACTGGCTCAGTTGCTTTGTAATACAAGTCCAGGCGCTTCTTGATGGTCTCCTCATTGTCATCAGAACGGCCGCTGGTCTCACCGCGCTTCATAAGCCTCTTGACCATGGTGTCTCCTTTGGCATCAACATACAGCAGCATGCAGGGTTTGCCGATCTGGGATCAAAGATTTGCTCATTTAAGGTTTTTTTTTTCCATTAATATGCCAGGATGAGTTATAGATCAACACCTCGTGCCCTCTCCTACCTTCTTCTCGAACTCCTCGCCCTGCTTCACCTCACGGGGGTAGCCATCAATAAGGTAGCCCTTGGAGACATCAGCCTTGGCGATCATGGCATCCTTAATCATGTCTAAGACTGTGTCCTGAAAGTACACCCAAGACATTACGATCAGCCTTCACAATGACATGGCACTTCTGACAGAAAATACACCCCGTTGACAATTTATTATACTGACAGGTCTTTATTATTTTGTCCTCCCTGCTAATATCAGTGAGAGCAGGCTAAATAACAGAAACACCTCTCTGTGTAACGCAACGCGGTTCAAGAGCACCAAAAGCTACCTCCTCCAAACTGAATCAACACCTCTCGAAAACTGTATCGACCCTCTTACCAGGGGCACAAGCTCTCCCTTCTGCATGATGGCCTGGAGCTGCTTGCCCCTCTCAGAGCCAGAAGCCACCTCAGCACGGAGCAGATCCCCAGAGGACAGGTGGGTGTAGCCATACTTTGCGACTATCTTCTCACACTGGGTGCCCTTTCCGGAGCCAGGCCCACCTGGAAAATAACACACAGAGCAATGGTTTAGCACGAGGGAGAAAGCTGTTTAAATGTGTTGTGTTGCAAAATAAGACAATATTTCCAGTAATTGTACTCACCAACAACAAAGATGATCTTAGCATCTTTAATTTTGTCTGAAATGAACATGTATAAAAAAGGTTATGAGTCCATACATGACATACTTAACAACTTTACTTCTGATCTAAACAACAATAAATCACTAGTAAAAATAATTTGGGAACAAACCATCTCGACATTCAAAGGTAGAGGTAAGGCCTTCAGTGGAATCGGCGATACACACATTTCCCATTTTGGAGTTGCAGGTCACAGTGTCGCCTGGTCCACGAGCCTGTTTTGAATGTGCTTGCTTTGCTGTAGGTTTGTGGTATAACTCAAACAGTGTTGCTGTGGCAACTGTTGTCCCCAGAGAATGTTATTTAGCCAGGTATAACTGGGGAACTACAGGATATAATAATGTGTGCAGCTATATCATCAAATAATTGCACATCATACAGTGTTGTGGTTACAGTATTTAAATGTAACGTCATAACAATCATGTGAGTGCAGGGTCTTCAAATGTAAATGCAAGCCCTCCACTGTATTCTCAAAAACACCCAGGAGAGGGCAGTAGAGTGTAAGAAAACACCACAAGTCTGCCTCTGACTCATTGTAGCTCCACACATCATCAACCATCATCAATCACTCTCTTACATGATATATTATTTACCTGCCATTGTGTTGCGTTAGATGAGGGTTTTCCTTCAACTAAAAGACAGAAAAGGACACAGAAATAGAAGTAAATAACATATATTTCGACAAACACAGACAGTCTAAAGGAATTTGTGTAGGTTACGCTTTTGCTTGACACTTTTAACTTACGCAAAATGACAGACAAATCAGCCAGCTTGGTGGAGAGGGCTTATTCTAAGGTCTGGACCTAGGCAGCTTTCTTCAGGGAGTCTATTATTGGATTATTGGATGGTAAACTAACCTTCTGTATTTCTTGAAAAGTTTGGGGTCACTGTCACAGTCAGAAAAGGCAAGTGAAACTTTGTTGACCATGTTTTTATTTAATCAGATATTAAAGGTCCAGTGTGTAGGATTTATGGGGATATATTTTGCAGTAATGGCATATAATATACAGTCAGGTCCATAATTATTTGGACAATGATACAGTTGTCGTCCTTTTGGCTCTGTACACCACCACAATGGGTTTTAAATGAAACAATGAATACCTGCTTAAAGTGCAGACTCTCAGCTTTCATTTAAGGCTTTTTTCAAAAATGTAGTATGAACCGTGTAGGAATTACAACCATTTCTTCACACAGTCCCCCAACTTTAAGGGCTCATAAGTATTTGGACAAACTAACATAATCATCAATTAAACAGTCAGTTTTAATACTTGGTTGCAAATCCTTTACAGTCAATGACTGCCTGAAGTGTTGGACACATAGGCATCATCAGATGCTGGGATTCTTCCCTGGTGATGCTCTGCCAGCCCTTTACTGCAGCCGTCTGCACTTCCTGCTTGTGTTTTGGGTGTTTTGCCCTCAGTTTTGGCTTCAGCAAGAGAAACGCATGCTCAGTTGGATTCAGGTCAGATGATATGACTTGGCCGTTGCAGAACATTCCACTTCTTTGCCTTCAAAATATCTTTGGTTGCTTTTGCAGTATGCTTCAGGTCAATGTCCATCTGCACTGTGAAGCATCGTCCAATGAGTTTTGAAGCATTTGGTTGAATCTGAGCAGATAATGGTGCCCCAAACACTTCAGCTTTCATCCTGATGCTCTTCTCAGCAGTCACATCATCAATAAATACAAGAGAACCAGTTCCACTGGCAGCCATACATGGCCATGACATAACAGTACCTCCACCATGCTTCACTGATGAGGTGGTGTGCTTTGGATCATGAGCAGTTCCTTCCCTTCTTCCTTCTCTTGTCTTCCCATCATTCTGGTAGTTGATCTTTGTTTTATCTGTCCATAGTATGCTGTTCCACAACTGTACAGGCTTTTTAGATGGTTTTTGACAAACTCTAATCTGGCCTTCCATTTTTAAGGCTAACCAATGGTTTGCATCTTGTGATAAACCCTCTGTATTTATTCTAGTGAAGTCTTGTCTTGCTTACAAGAGCAGCAGGATGAAAGCTGAAGTGTTTGGGGCACCATTATCTGCTCAGATTCATCTAAATGCTTCAAAACTCATTGGACGATGCTTCACAGTGCAGATGGACATTGACCTGAAGCATACTGCAAAAGCGACCAAAGACATTTTTAAGACAAAGAAAAGGAATGTTCTGCAATGGCCAAGTCATATCATCTGACCTGAATCCAACTGAGCATGCGTTTCTCTTGCTGAAGCCAAAACTGAGGGCAAAACACCCAAAACACAAGCAGGAAGTGCAGACGGCTGCAGTAAAGGGCTGGCAGAGCATCACCAGGGAAGAAACCCAGCATCTGATGATGCCTATGTGTCCAACACTTCAGGCAGTCATTGACTGTAAAGGATTTGCAACCAAGTATTAAAACTGACTGTTTAATTGATGATTATGTTAGTTTGTCCAAATACTTAAGAGCCCTTAAAGTAGGGGGACTGTGTGAAGAAATGGTTGTCATTCCTACACGGTTCATACTACATTTTTGAAAAAAGCCTTAAATGAAAGCTGAGAGTCTGCACTTTAAGCAGGTATTCATTGTTTCATTTAAAACCCATTGTGGTGGTGTACAGAGCCAAAATGACGACAACTGTATCATTGTCCAAATAATTATGGACCTGACTGTAATATAAAAAGTATGTTTTCTTAAGTGTATAGTCCCCTGAAAATATAAATTTGTGTTTTTGTTACTGTAGAATGAGCCATTTATATTTACATAGGGAGCCGTTCACCATGAGGCACTGCCACCTTTATACAGCAGCAAAGGACGGTCAAACGAAACACTGGCTCTAGATAGGACCCTTAGGATTTTTGCATTTTCACCTAGGACACCGTAGTTCACAGCCAAACAGCATCTGGAAAACATTTACTTTTAAAGTGAAGCTGCTTTATTTAGTGTTTTTAACGGTTCAAATCACCTGGGGTCTCGCCACTTCACACGCAAAAGTTGTGATGTATAAAAACAGACTTGATGGGAGAAACTTTGACCCATGCTTACGAATATTGTGGAGACGGGAAATTAGCGTTGCAGATGGTGAGGTGGAAGCCTGATTGTAGAAATTGTCGAATATTTTTTGGCGCACACTATTTTTGGCTTTTGGCCGTGCATACATTTTCAGCCTGGATCCTATGCATTATTTTATAAATTAGACCCCTAGTCCATTTGTTTTGGAGAGGAAGAGACCCTGCAGATAATTTCCCAGGAAAAACCTCCCCAATGATGAACACTGTAGGAATCCTAACTGGGAGTTCACGCTTGGCACACAGATGAAGTTTCAGCCGGTTGCAGTCTGCAATCTTCAACGCTAGATGGCGCTTAATCCTACACACTGCTCCTTTAACTTCTGACTCTCCAAATAAATAAAAGCATCTAAGTGTGTTATCCATTAAGAGAATTAGTGCAGTATTGATGTAGATGATGATCTGTAGAAGGAGCTGGTTATAGTATTAATATTGCTGGTAATGTTATTGTCAGTGTTCACATTTGCATCCAAGTATGAGTAATTGGAGCAGTACATCTTTATTAACAGACACTCTGCGATGTGGTCGCACTTAACTTCCAGATAGCATGACAGCGCTAAGTAGCTTTACAGTGTGTCTCATGTCTGATAAAATGTTGCAACCTCAACTTTTAATTGTGGCAGGAAATGCTTATAAATTCAGTGTGAAAGAGCACTGAACATATCTGAAGAAGATAACAGTCGTTTCCTGTTTTGACTTCTGTTATAGCCGACTTATGGACACAAGAATGAGGAAGGAGGCTGGGGCAGTCACTGGGGCTGGCATGTGTAAATAGATATCTTCAAGTAGCTGCTTGCCTGTGTCATGTGCCTGGGGTTGAATACGAGTGTGTTTGAAAGAACTGGCTCAACAGGTGCAGCGTAGGCCAAAATAACCATCTCGTTCGGCATCTGCATAGAAGTTCTCGATGGGCCAAATGTAAAGGTGCCTCGACTGAAATTCAGCTCTCGGTTTTGCATGTATTTTAAATACAGCTCCTTCCCACTGTTTGGATTGAATGTGGAATCAGAAAGCCACCTGTAAACGTGTAGAACGTGGATTACATCACAGTGATATTCATCTTTCCATTCAGTAGGCCTATGTCAACGGGTTGCTTAGGTCACAGACATGTGAAAGAAACCTGAGAAGCTGCCAGTTTAGTGAAAACAGATTTATGACAAGGAGCAAAGGTCTGATTTCTTAGGTTACGTGGTGAGGCCCAAGCTTGGATTTAAGTATCTTGGCATGGTCACCAGGACAGAAAAGAACATGCCGCACACAAAAATCATCAGTAGGGTATGAAACATCTTGAGTATAGTCGTAGAATATAAGACTTATTCTCTGGGTGGGTAATCCAACACCCTGCATACCTGGGGGGTTATTAGATTAGATTTAACAAGACTTGAATTTGACCTTGAGACAATGTGGCTGTTTGCTCACTGCCACATGCCTGCTGCTCAAACAAATCAGCCACTATAGCGCCGGATTGATAATAAGCTTTATGAAATGTGGGGCACTAGAAAGGTGATATGAGCTGCTTCATTGTAGCTAAACTGTAGCAAAGTAAAAAAAAATATAGTATAACTGTATAACGGCAAATGAAATATCTTTATATTTCTGGAGCTGACGTGTTTCCCGGTTCACCATTGAGCTATATTTTAGCATAGGATACACCAAAGCTCCGAATGCTACCAGCTTGTTCTCTGATTCTCACATGCACCACTCCTCAGCCCCGGTGGTGCTGCTTCTCAGGTGTCCAGTTTTATGTCAGCCGCCATTAACCCTGTGGTCAGTGTAAATGTCACCCAGAGGCCGGCATCTGAGTCAGCACAGAGCCTGTTTGGGAATCCCTCTCTGGCCTATTATGGTACCATCTTCTGGGTCCCCTGCTTCTTTGGCACGCAGAGGTGTTCTGGCTCTAATACGGTGCAAACAGCATTACATGGTTCTTGGTGTGTGGGTAAAGCACTTAATACTGTGTGGAATTGTGGAACAGACACCTACTACTCAGTGAAACATTGCATGGCTTCACTGCAGTGTGATTTTGCTAATACATTACCCAACACAGGCTGTATCAGTGTTGGAGACAGATGTGGCAAGATGTTTGAGCAGAACTTTTGTCATTATGTAGACAAAGGCCCTTGAATGTGCTCTAGGCTAGGATCCATTTTGTTCCCCTTAACATGCATGAATAATGTAACACCATGCAACTAAGTGCGCTGTTAATGCAAGATGTAACCTAATACATGCAGACACTTTGAACATGTGACTTTTGTAATTCTACCCTTGAACTGAAATTTAGCGATACTGGAATCACACAACCCCCACTCCAGTTTCTGTCACCCATCCCACCCTCATGTCTTATTACTGTTTTTTACCCTGCTAAAAAAAGACTCAGCTGTTAAGGGATAGCGTGTCAACCATTCTCAAAAAGCACATGGGGGTGAAGCTTTCACTGACTGCACGCAGAAGCAGGGCTGGAACCAGACGTTGTAAACATCTGGGGCTCAGGCCAAACCTGGGGGGTCCAGGGGCATGCTCCCTCCAACAAGTTTTCGTCCCATTGACAGCAGCTATTTTTCCAAAGAAATTAAGATAACACAACAAATGTTGAGGTATATGGGTGACATAGGCCTGGGACAACACCCAGAGGGGTGGTGCCACAATCCCCCACCCATTCAATAAAAGCATACATAAGGAAAATGGTAGAGTTGGGTGTATGTGGAGTACCGGAGTAGGGTTATGGTTATGGTTAGGGTTAGGGGTTAGGGGTTAGGGAATTAAAAGCAAAGCCATCTGGGGCGCAGTACAAAGACTAGAGGAAGACAAAATTTGGGAAGCTTGTCTGGGGTGCCAAATGTATTTGGTCCGGCACTGTGTTGGGGACTAATTTTCGCTCCCACTACCTCAAAAAGAGGCAAAAATGGAGTGATGCCACTATTTTTAGGGTAGGAATTTGACATTGACAGCAATACTAACCTTGAAACCCTTCTTTGTTGTACAATGCTGGACTACAGTTCACTGAATGATTGTTTTAGCTGACAAATCTGCTGCATTTAAATCCATACCATAATAATCTGTGCTGTTAATGTGGTCAGGAGCATGGCACCAAATTTTGGGCCCTATGCATAAGCAGTCTATGTGGGCCCCTTGCTCTTCCTCTCTTGATCCATGTCTGTTTCATGCACCCTTTGAATTGTTTTTCTCACAGTCAGTTTGCTTTCGTTTCTTTTTCTTTCTTTCTTTCCTTTCATTTTTCTTTAACCTCAGTTTCCCTTTTTTTGAGGAAAGACGTGACAGTGTATGTTGGTGCTCCAGCACCATAAGCAGTGACTCACTTAGCTCTAGCTGCATTTAGAGACGAATTCTAGTGCAGGGGTGGACTGAACCATTTTGCACTTTTATGGGGTGAGAGGGGTCTCAGACAGTCTCCACTATGATTTAATAAAAACTTCAGTCTTTCAACCAATTTATTCAGCTTATTTTAATTTAGTTATTGCACTAAGTACTTAGAAAAAAAAAAAAGGAGACTAAACCAAACTTTTTATCCGATTTTTTTGAGGACTCCCTCCAGTTGGGGCCCGGGGTAATCAGCCTCACTTTTCCCCCCACTACAAACGCCCCTGAATGTAGTCCTCAATACCCTGAATATTAGACCAACAGTAGAACGTTATATTAGATTTCTTTAGGGAATACACTGAATCATTGTGACGTTGTAGCAACAATCACTTCCAGGTAACAACTGGCAATTGATTTCAGTTGTGGAGTTATGGTGTATAGGCAAACTTGTTTATTTCTGTTGTTATTTTCACCCGTAACTGTAATGCTTAAATATATATACTTAAACATGGTGGTACGACCTATCTGACGTTTGTGCTGTGGTTATTTTATCGACTGTGGTACTTTGCTAGCGTCTTTGATAAACCAACTCTATTGTCACAGACACTGAGATATGTACTCCTGTATTTTAGCCACCGAATAGATATCAATATAAGTGTACGTGTACGCTATATTTGAAATATTTTCTCTGCTTTACCCTACACACTAACCAACTGAAGCAGTGGTAGACCAGCAACTCCTGTTCTGCAAAGTCACGTTATGCAAATGACTGTTTGTGTCAGTGAAGTCTGGTGGCTTTGACATAATGGCTTCAGTTACTGGTTGAGAAAAGCTGTAAGCAGTTTAAGTGGTGAGAATATTCTAAATACAGTGTACACTTGCACTGATAGTGATCTTTTAAGGTAGGTTTTTTTAAGTAGCTTTAAATTAAGTAACTGAGGCAGCATCTGATTTTAATGTACATGACATAGGGGTTTTTTATAACCTCAACGAACATTATGATTCAGCCTATAGCAATAGGATGAACAACATGGAACATGTGATTATCTGAATGACACAAGGTTGAAGTTATATTAAGAGCCTAAAAGATTCATTTTGAGAAAACATTTGGGGCTGGTCCCTCAAAGCCAGTCGCTCCACCTCTGCTTATAAGCAACAGGAGTGAAAACAAAGTGCTGAGCACATAATCCATGAGTGCATTCTCTCTGTGTACCGCTGGTCACTAAGGCACGCTGCAAATTAATTGAGCGTACTGTCCCTTTAAGGGAAACAGGGGACCCTTTGACGTCAGTGCAGTGTGAGATATTCCATGATGTTTGTGAAAGGATGGAGCGAGATCATTTCTGTGTGAGCTGAGGTTGTCGTGGACGTGTTTGTGTTCCAAATCGCGAGCTTTGTTTCACTTTAATGTGTGTAACCTACTCAAAAGAATCAATAGCACTCAGCCACTAATCAGCTGTTAATGACCATCACTGGGGCTGAAAGCATGGCAGTGGACTTAAAAGGCTCCAGCAGCCTGTATGAAAATGGCCTTAAATGGGCGTAGATGGAGGGAAATGTTTACGTGTTATCAGAGTGAAAGCAGGATGTAATCACTGATGGCTGATTTTGATTATTTTTTAGCAAAACAATTATGTCATTCAGTGAGTGCCATCACTGTCAATGTCACACAAGAACTACATGCCTCTGCACTATGCAGAAATGTCTGATCTCCTCACAATGTCAACCATTTTACACAGTGTGACTGACCAGTGTCTCCAGAAACCAGATGACAGCTCACCATTACAGCCCCTGTTATTCTCTCTCCATCCCAACAAACAGCCCAGCCCACTCTTGCCTGCCCACACTTTCTCTCTGACATCTCTGTATCCGTCACTCCCCTCCAACAATGTTAGACCCACTCCCTGTCATTTCATGCTTCCTCTATGGAGCCTTTGTCCTCTGTACTGACCTCTCTTTTTCGCGCTGTGGCTCTAGATCCCAGTGCAAGGGGCTGCCGTCCCTGGATCCCCGTGTGTGTGTGTCTGCACAGTTCCTACTGCACGGCAGCCCTCCCTCCCCCTTGCTATGCCTTTTTATAGCTCAGCTGAGCCTGCTCAGGCTGCACTGCATTCTGGGTAAGAGGGAGGAAGCACAGAGAAGGAGAAGGAGGGAGGGAGGGAGGGAGGGAGAGGAGGGATGATGGACAGGAGGAGGCAGGGGTGAAATTAGAGGCAGAGGGAGAGGAGGGGAGGGCTGTGGCAGAATGCACCACTGTGAGTTTCTTTTGAACTTAAAATTTTGGGCCATGCTTATTATATGACAAATATTAGCATGTGTGTCAGTGTCATAATTATAATAGTGCAGGGTTTGTCATTACTGACAGTAATAAAACTGGAATTAAACAATTTATTGTGAAAGAAAATGTGCTAAATTCGATATTAGAGGCATGCATTTGGTTCATGACCCAATCTAAAGGACTGCATCATCAGGATAAAAAGTAATAAGTCACATTTGTCAACATGTATCTTTGTGTTTTAATTAGTTATTTGCATTACCATTGAATCATAGTGATGCAGCCCAACTGGGAGTTAACCAACAAGTTTGATCAGCCCTTTGTACTTTGTTCCTGCAAAGATAAGAGCTCAGAAAATCCAATCATTGATTGTGTTCTCAGTGGGTCTGGGACTAGTTTTCCAGGGTACTGAATGTGAAGCTATTCCTGTGCTGTAGAGGTCAGTGCTACTCATGTAGCTTTCTAAGATTAATGTGTGCAAACTTTTTTTTTTTTTTTAACGCCAAAACTAAATAAAAATAGATCCCAAATAAACATCTGAAACATTTTATTAAAAGCATGAGGGGACATATTCATGTCCTCAAATGGAACATAAATACAAAATATATTTATATGTACAAATTATGGCAAAGACAAATAGAAGCGTACCAGGTACTTTCTAAAAATGTTAATTCACAAAAAAAACTGAGAAAAAGAAGAAAATATTAACTTTAGCTCCCAAATGTGTTGTTTATCAAAGATAGATGAATCAAACGTAGCCACTATGAACTTGCTAAATGATCCATCCCAGGTCAGCTTCTCGAAGGTTCATGAGCTTTGAGGTACAAAAATGAGGTATGCACTACTTTTGAATACAAAGCGAGCCAGTAGGTTAGGTCAATTATTTTATATAAGTACCATTATACAGATAATCTGTACAAGAAAAGGTTTCAAAATCTTAGCTGATTACAATTTCCTTGTTGCAGTTTGTACCTCTCTTGCTGATTTTGGAACTTTTGCTGCAACGCATGGATAGAAATGTACATGTAACTGAAACCTTTATGAAATGATTAGCAAAAATCTCCCCATTTATGGTACAAATTGGCAAAACTTGCTGCTGAAAGTTCACAAAACCGTCATACTTGTACTGTATCACAATATTATTCTTATTATTACATTGTCCTAAAAATATTCAGAAGTAGGGAATACCTTTTATCCCCACTGGATTACACTGTATTTCACAGAGGTAATACAAGGGTTTGACCACAGGGAGGCGGCACATCTGCAGCACAACCTCAAATTAGTGACTTCAATATTGTTCATGATATTATTATCATCCTCAAAATGTCACATCCATCTCATCCGTCTCTATTTCTATGTTAAGTAATAATAAAAATGGCAGTAAGCAGTAGTCTGTTATCAGATGTTGAGAACAGTATGGGCAGCAGATAGCATTACTTTCAAAAGCTAAGCAGAACAGTTAATTGGAGCTTGAATTATCACACAACGCTAGTCTTGAATCTCTAAAAGAAGCAGCTATTTTGTATCATTTGCGCAGTAACCATGGTTACTGCATACTGTGTGAAGAGATGCATTTTTAGAAATGCAGAAATGCACATAAATAACATTTATGTGGTAAATCCTATTTGACTCAGTCTGTTGTTTTAAATGAATCGTATTACTTTGTTGAAGTCAGGAAAAATGAAGCATGGTTATCAATCAGTGGAGAGTTTCGACTGACTAGAGCTGTTTTTTTAAACACTGGATGATGTGTCCTAATACTGTTACTGCACAAATAACACCAGTTTTCTATGAGAAGGGGGAAGCACAAAGATTGAATGATAAGGTACAACTGAATTTGTACATTTGTCAAATGTTGAACTTGTTTGATAAAGCCAGTTGGTATAAACATTATCATTTACGTCTTTTTGATTCAGTGCAAATCTGTCACTGTTCTCATGTTTTCATCAACTCTGTTCCCATCATTAAATCTTTGTGATTCCTACGACTCGTGCTCTAATTGGCCATTGCCCATTATGTGTTCCTACAGAACACATCTGACACCAGGGAATACAATCTTGAGTCTGAAAAATAAAATGCTGATTAAGGCATTAGATTGAGTCCATACTTCATGTTTGCTTCCTGTTACCCCAAAACGTACTTTCTGAGCTTAAATTCTGCTTGTTTTCCCGTTACATTAACGAATATTTAGAACATAATACACCGAGCAACATTTGACAGGGAACCACCTATTGCACATTGAAGTTGTCTTGTTATTAAAAATCTTGTTAGTTCACCCTTCAGTGCTGCCTTTAAATGTTGGCTCATCCCTCTTTCATTTCTTCTTTTTTTATTTTCTTTGACAAAAACTTGTGCAGCATTATTCACCGAGTCCTAGCTGGAAAAACCACCAGGCGGCTCTGGGTCGGGGGACGGAGGGTCGTCCTGGTCGTCTGAGGGCAGGTGGACGCGCTGCTCGTCCATGCGCTTGGCCTGCACCCTCTGGATTAGACTGAAGAAGTCTTCATCAGGCACTGTGGGGGCGTGTGGGCCGGCTTCTGGTGGGGAGCACCGCTGATCATCAATCCTAGAGGACTACAGTCAGAAAGATTGATATATTCAGTGGATATATTTAGAGGCAAATGTGACACAATGTGGTTTAAAGGAAGTAAGAATTTTCCTAGTCGATCAATAGTCATCATTTATAGCCATTAGTCGACTAGTCTCCTGCATGTTTACAATATTAATTCAATTATCAAATAATATATTTTGGGTGGGTCAACACAATGGTTTGAGTTCAAGGTCTGGGAAAGAATAGTATCAGTAACATTGTTAACACTGTGCTACATTACAGAGAAATACAAAACCGTACTAATGAACCTTCATTAATATATTTTATCTACAAGTGCACGTCACACTCTGAGCGAGCTGCCTGTTAATGACGCTGTCGGCAAAGCAGTAATGATTGTGCTAAGTGGCTAATGTTTGCCTGAGTTCACATATCACCTTGGGTTCGTCCTTCACCTTCTCAAAATGATCCCACACTTTGGATTTCCTGCCCAACATGTTATTAACCAGCCTGTGTAATAACTGCAGGTACCAGCCCTGGAAATTAACATGACTCCTCTCTGACTGCTGAGCGTGGCCACTTCCTGTGTTTGTCCTTTCCAATTAAATTCCCACACGGTCCAGTCATATAGGTTCTGCTTTATTCTGACAAGGCGCAGCTCCTAATAGAGTTTTACGTTTTTTTTTTGGTTGTTTGTTTTCTTTGTCTGCAACTAAGCGACCAATGAAATCTTGCAAACTAATGACCTTTCTGGTCGACCAATGTTTGGTTGACTATTTATGGAACGACCCTATTACTCACCCTGAGTTATGGTGAATTTGTGAAGAAAACTTTGTTTTCCGTGCATGCTTTGATAGTGAACGAAGAATCCTAAAGCTACATTTTTTTTTTTGCTAATTTGAAGACATAGGGGTTTGATTTAACCGCGGTGGATCTGAACTAACCCTTCAAAACACCAAAGTCGCACAATACCACAAACTACCTATCGAGGCAGTGGTAGACCAGCCGTGTAGGTTCAGCAGGTTAAAATTACTATTTTTGTCAATGCAGTCTGGCTTTGAAGAGAGCATAGATAAGTTTCACAGATTTATCTGGGCAACTTCTTCTACTCCTTGTGCAGCTATCACCACCGTCTATAAGACCAATAATTAAGAATCTAAAAGGATTAAACCCTCCACTTCTTTTCGTAAGTGAATTGTGGCCTTACCTGGCACTTAATAAGCATGTTGAAGAAGTCATCGCTGGGTTCCTGATGATCTCCCTCACCCACCAGGTGTCCCAGATTGTTATGGGTAATCCTCAGTCCTGGAAGGTTACCGACATTAACCCGCTGGTCATCGAGGCGGCGGCTCTGGGAGCTAGCAATCAAATCAAACAGCTCCTCGGTCTGGGGGGAGGTGGTGATTGCAGGATCTAAGAGAAGAAGTCGTCCAGTTATTAAAAAAAGGAGTTAATGTGTCCTCAATAAAGTCAATAAAGAACTTAACAGGCATGTGTGAGGGCGGTTCTAAACCAACCTATCATCTCATTCAGGGACGACACGGAGTTCGCAGCACCTTCTCCGTTGTCTCCGTTCTGTGGCTCATCAAGATGGCAGCGCTGGTCATCCATGCGGCTGCTCTGGAACTTGCTGAGGAGGTCAAAGAAGCAGTCTTCATCGGAGGGGTCACGGCCCAGCTTCTGAGAAAGAGAAGGGGTTCACAATGTTTTTACTGGAATACCTGATTGTGTAGAACCACTCCTAGATCAAAGGGTTTTATGGGCAATTGTGTCAAATATTTGTTTCATTTACAGTAGGTGTGAATGTGTATTTCTGTATTGCCACCATGCAAACTGTGTGGACCCCAGCAGAAATAGCTGCTGCAATGCCAAAGCTAATGGGGATCTAAATAAGCAAACAACGAAACATGATAAAATCATTTAGCACAATGCCATTGTGAGTGTCAGGGGGGATTTTCAAGGTGGCCAGCTTGTGATAGAGAAAAATAATCTGATTGAATCACATGGGATGGCCTTCCTGGTTAGACTCCCTTGGCCTAGATACTGAAGGTGGTACATCATGAAATGTGTAAAAATAAACAACCCATTTGTATTTAAGTATAATGGCCCACACAGTGGTAACCTGTAAAAGTAGATGGAATAATCAGAAGATATAGCTGTAGCCACTGTAGTCCATAGAGCAGGTGATAGAATATAAACAGTCTCTTTATAAAAGCTGTATCATTGTTTTAGTTTCTTGACTTAATGAGGCAAAAGTTACAGCAAGTCATGCTAAAAAGTTCTCATTTGTTTGAACTTTCACACATGAGCAATGGGGTTGAAACACTGTCCTTGGCTTCAGTGCCGGAAATTAGCATATAGCCCCAGTCAATGATCAGCCAATCAATAATTCAATCACTGACTGACTCAATGCCATTTATGTGTTACATCCTCACAACTAGTCGGCCTCTGAAAGTGCTGTTTCCTTTGTTTGCTTTGAGATGAAATCCAGAGGTGCTCTCTCACGTCACACTGAATGACCCTCTTTCACCCAGTGTCACAGTCTAACTGTTGCATTTAAACTTTGCAACTGAAGTGGATAACACATGCATGAAAAATGTTTTTGCTACAGATACTCTGAGCCAGCAAAGCAGATGTGGAATTTATTATGTTTGACCAACACTGCTGAAATATTCTGGCAATCAGACTGTGATGTTAGGATACTGAATGAGAAATCTCAATCTACAGGACAGCAGCTATATGCTTTTATAATATATATTATCTGAGAACATATAAACCTGCCAACACACTAATTTAAATTATCAGATGAAGTGAAAACAATATATCAAAAAAACATCTTTCATCTGTATTTTTAAGCAAAATAAAGTAAAAGTTCTACAATAGGCTGAATTCTTCTATCATCCTCCCATGTTCAAGGGCTCTACTTCTATGCCTGGGGTCTGTTCTAAGAAGCAGTACTAAGATATCTGGATCAACCTGCAGGGTCAAACAAAAGCAAACTCAAAACTGGAGCATGAAAAGCAAAGAGACCTGTTCTTTTATTTGTTCTTGTAGTTTTACTAACCTTTAAGCCTAACCTGATAAATAATTAAAAAGCCTCTTGTAAAGGTTCCTGATTACCCTTTGTTGCTTAAGCTTCTAAACCAAGAAAAGCATTGCATTGTTTTTGCATTTTTCTACCATGCATCTCAAAGCAAGGGTTTCAAATCTCTATAATATAGGTTGTGGCCGAAACTTTACCTCTTTGTGGTCAAGGACATAATTGACCTTTTTTGACTACTTTTGATTGTACCTTTAAATTTCACCTTAAAAACTGTTTTCCTGCCTTGTTTGGTGTCATTTTTTTTTTCAGCACAATCTCATATTGCTACCGATTTTTGTCAAAGCATTAAAGGAATTCGTCAAACACAAAATGACAATTTGGATATAAATAACTAACCCCATGTTACGTATACCTCCAGTGAACGAAGAATTGAAAAAACAAAATATTTCTTGATAAACTCATATCATAGGCGACTATGTCTAAAAACAGCAAAACAATATCAGAACATCAGTTTACAAACACCCACCAAACTTGTTTTAAAGGGTTAGCTCAGATTAACCAAAGTCATACAATAAGGCCAGCAGCTCCCGTATTTAGCAAGGTAAAATTACTGTTTCACTTCCAGTTCAGTTTACTGTTGGAAATGGCTGTCTGTTTCAGAAGTACTGAGCATGCGGATGGATAATGGAGTTGTGTGTGAGTTTGTAAACAGATGTTTTAAAGTAGTTTTACTGTTGTTAAAGGTGGACCCCTATTACTTCAATTCATCGTGCATTTTCTCTGTTTCTTTTGTATGTCTCCAGTAAACAAAGAATCCCAAAACAATGTTTTTTTTGTTAAGGATTCAACGTACATGGGGTAAGGAACTGATATACAAATGGTCATTTAGTGGGTGGAGTATTCCTTTAATAACTAATCAACTTCATATAATCCAAATAAAGTTCATTATCCAAGACTTAAAGTGGGCATTAACGAAAAATTATACTACACTGTGCAGGTCAGTTCACAGTGAGATATAAATACAGTGGTATACAGTGGTATACAGTTTTGTAATAAATCCTGCATCTTCTTAAACATTAAACTGAGCCAAATGTTAATTGACTAAACTAAAGAAGGTTTAGGACTCATTTAACTACTCGTACTTGATAAGACATTACACACTTTAGTAAAAATCAACAACAATCACCACCTGTAAAAGCTTTTTGTGATGCCTCCACATCAACAAAATGTCCACAAGCAGGTTAATGGGAGACAAGGTGAAAGTAAGCATCACAAATCGACAACAGTCTGACAGTGTTTCCATTACAAAAGCCTCTGGACTGCACTTCCCTCCCCCGCTTTAACAAAGCACTCCCAATAACCTTCACAATAACAACAGTTCTAATGTACCACCCAACCACAATAACTTTGACATCTTTAACACCAACTAGTGGATGCTGTTGAAATCACTTTGCCTTACAGCAAGATGTGAAGTAGGTCAGCGTCAGCAAACACCTGATTTCACTCAGCCCTATTCTTGGAATTGTTTCTTCTATTTCAACTTTTGTATTAGAAAATTAAACTATGCTTCAGACAAAATATAGCTTTTACTATTTATTATAAAGTTTTTCAATTTCTAATGCATCAACTCCCCTCAAAGTTAAATATCTACACACACAGTAAAGACACACACACTGCAAATACATACACAACTGCAAGTCAGATATCTAAAGGAAAAGAAAGTTAACAACCTCTGGTATCCTCTGCACCATGTTGTTATTCAAGCCGCAAAACATAAATGAAACATCTTACCAGCAGCACTTCTCCTTTGTCCTCTATCTATCCCTCTCTCTCCGTCATTTCTCGCTAAGCTCTCTTTCCCCCTCTCGCTCTGTCCACACGCCTGGCTCACACCTCCTTCTCCCCTGCTTTCACCCACCACTTCACTCTCTCTATCTCTCTCTGCTCCCCTGCTGGACTCAACTCCCTCCCTCTAATTTCCTCTCCTCTTGTATCCCTCTATTCCAGCCTTCTTTTAATCTCTACCATCCACTCTCTGTCTCTCTTTCTCTCTTTCTCTCTGCGGCTCTCCTGCAGGCCATTTTTGTCCCGTTCACCCACTGTGGGAAAACAACTCATTATGGGAAGCAGGGGGGAGTTGACCCTGTGGGGAGGGTAGCAGCGCTGTGATCAAGGTCACATTATCAGCAGAGGGGTAGAGCTCTGGGTGGGGGGAGGAAGGGAGAGAAGAGGGGGTGGAAAGATGGGTGCAGGGGTACAGTTATGAGTAAACTGCATGCCAACAGTGGCAGCCTGCAGGGATCAACTACCCTGAAATGTCAAGAACCACCAATGTCAGCACTCAATTCTCACATGACAAAGTTCATACACCATTCATAACCAAGGATATTTTCTGACACGCACATAAATAAAATCTTCTGTGAGATCTGTATTTCCTTGCTCTTTGCACACTAATCAGCTGTGACTTATAGCCGTCTCTGTCCTCTGTCCTCGCCCCCATGGTCACTGTGTGGGTCTCCTCACTTCCCTCTCTGTGTTGTCCAATTAATCAAGTAGGCCAAAGGGACAGAACAAGAGAGAAAGGGACACGTGATGATGATGAGAGAGGGGGGAAAAAGGGAGACAGAGTCAGAGAAGGAGGGAAGTGAAGTTGTGTGAGAGAGGGGAGTCACTGTGTGAATGGAGGAGAATAAAAGACAAAGGCGGCTCCTCCTGGATTATATCATCATTGTGCTTTCCAACTTCATATGTGTGACAGCAACAGTAACTAAGGGGGGCACTGCTTAGCTAATGGTCAGTTTAACCTCCTGAGACCCAAACTTTTGTTTGGTATATATTTTTAATTTCTCCTACCTATTAGGGATCAGTAGGACCCAATAAGTATAAATAAACTAAATGTCTAAGTGCCAGGATCGGCTGCAGACTGACTTGGCAGTGATGGCTGCCATCTTGTTTTTACATGGATTAGTGTATTGTGCTCTTACTACCCCTAGATGGCACAAAAAAGTGTCCACAAATGAGGACAACAGGTCTTGGTCATGTAGAATGAGGCATAAGGTCAAGTAAACCCAAAATGTGATGTCCTCAAATGAGGACACAGGGTCTCAGGAGGCTATGTTCATACCTTGTATTGGAGCAAACTAATGTACCCGAAGAAAAAACCAACCAATCTTGGAGCACAGGAATGAAGCACTATCATCTCTGTAAAACATGCTCTTAAACGTTTTGTCTGCTAGCACGTCTACAGGTATCATTCATAATGAATTAATATTAATTTTAAAATGTATATACTGTATATTCTGCCGATGAAGGCACTGTGATATGGTTGAATGTTTGGGAACAAGCACGAAAGTAGTACATTATTTCATCAAGAGCCGTTTCCAAGGTCAAGAACGAACTGACAAGTTCAACTTTCAAGCAAACATGGATGAGAAGTCAATGAAAAGTTTTAGTTATAGTTTAGTGTTAGTTATGGAAAGTTATTTAATGCTATACAAAAAGGATTTTACAACATGATTGACAATTCTGTGAGCCAACTGGTGGGCTTACTTCTTCACATTTTGTTGATAATATTAGTTTATTTTTTAATGTTTTAAACTAAAATGCTGGCCATATCTTACACAGTTACACCTTTAACTCCATCTACTGATGAAGATCATTTGATACGCTCAAAAGGTACGAAACAAGTGAGTTGTTGGACCTTGAGTTCAAAATGTTTTGTCAACAATACACTGTATGTCATTGCAGCGCCAGGACTGTCCAGTCAGTACTCACGGACATGCATCAGTCGATGTATAAAAGCAAAGAACCTGAAACAGATTTAATTTTCTTGCTTTAAATGCAGCACTGTTCTTCTGACAAAAACATTGTTGTTGACCAAAAAGATGTTTGTAGGTTGTTGCACCCCAACTTGATTTTAACTGGTTCAAAAGAAATGGCAACGCTAGAATGTGAACTTCAATCTGATAACTGAACTAACAATTTGGTGTCGACACATGCTAGAGAAATCACAAGTTCTAGCTTAAGGAAAGAGTTTCACAGACACACAGCTGGCTGGATTGGCAGATTTGAAAAAAGGGTTTGCTTCAATGTCATCAGGATTACCAACATTTAGCCTTCTTCTTCCTTGTGATGAACTATCATCATGCAGCCTAGTAATTCCCACTCTTTTCTAGCATGTCAGCTAGCTGATTACAACAATTAGAATTGTCACAGAACTGAGGCATGATAAGGTGCTGTGTGGGCGCAGAATTTAAGGGATACAGCTGTGAAACGGCACATTCATTAAGAATCTAGTTCACAGCTAATGGAGCACTGTTGGGATTTAATGAGGAGACACCTTTGCTATGTATCTGACTTCTAACATAATACTGTAACCTCGTGGGAAATTAAGGGATATGTTCCCAATTTAATCTCTCTAGTTTCACTCATTTTCTCTTTAAAGCAGAAGCCCTGATGAAATTCCAGACATGGGATGAAAAGAAAAGAAAGGGAAAAGTAGTTACATGAATTGAGCAGTCAGCATTTCAGGTCCCCTTGATGCTTTCTAGGGGGAAAATCAAACCCATAGTTTCTCAGGTGGGTTCTCAGTGATTGAATTAAAAGCATTGTATGGCTTAGATTTACTGCACATGTGAACTAGGGCCTCTATTATACATTTTAATGGGCTGCTTGAAACTCTGAGGCATGAAAAAAAAAAGTAGAGCCTCGGCAGCCTATTTTTTTTCTGTTGTCAGCAAAAAAACAAAAGGAAAATACCATTTTTTATTGCTTTATCCTTAGGCTTTTTAACTAAGTCTCAAAACTGAGGAGTGCTTGAATTTCAATACTTCTGGAAACTTATGAATGCAGTCATGTGTGGAGTTGGAAAGTGTGAAACTTACCATTTTTAATTAGTTCCAAGTTATAAAAACAATGTGGAAAAAACTTTCACAGTAGGCTAATATGCAACACTCCAGGGGACTAAGTGTAAAAAAAATTATGAGGCAGAAGCTAAATAGAAGTTACAAAAACCTTTACAAGAATAGTTTGACAGTTTGGTAAACCCTTTCTTGCTAAGAGTTAGATGAGAAAATTGTTAACACTCTTATGTCTGTGGGGTAAACATGACGCTATCGCCACCAGCTGGTTAGCTTAGATTAGCATGAAGACTGGAAACAAGAGGAAACAGTAAGCCCGGCTCTGTCCCATGGATGTATAAAGAAAACTGGATACAGTGTTGGAGGCGAGATCCGTTCATTCCTATGAAAGTAGCTCAGGTAAACCAAAAGGCTCGATTTCCGCAGTATGAAATTACCCAGATCTTCCGCATGGTGGGGACCATAGAGCAAGCACCCTGGAGACTGACGGCGGCTGAGCAGCAAACTTATGGTTTATTATGGTTTAATGCAGCTCCTCTAGACTTTACAAATGTCGTGGAATGTCATGGACTAAAGGGATTAAATCTGATAGTGAAATGAGTCATTTCGACAGTGGTTGTTAGCTGAACAAAATGTAGCCACGAATTAAGAGACATCTCTTACATAATGTAAGTCTATAGGAAAAAGTGTTTTTGGGCCCCACGGCATCAAGTGACAGAATCGGATGTTGTAATTCCACATCTGGCCACTAAAGCCCTGTTTTCACCGAACACTTCAGTATGGTACCTTTGGAACCAAAAGTAACCCTTCAGACGTGGTACCTAGACCCTAGTTCTACTTAGTGTTCCTACTGCACAGTACTCTTTCATGTGGGTGGGGTTTTTGTCACTCACTGTATTTCCTCCTTCATCAGTCAGCACCTTGTTTATCATCCACAGAACAGGGTTGGACACTGACATTTTCAGAACAAAATAAAACAGGCTGCAGTGAGAGTCTCTCTCCATGGGATATTTGAGAATAGCAGGTTTGTGCATTTTGTCCCTCTAAGGCAAGCTCAGGGGTTTAGTGTTGCCGGAGCCCACAGGAACAACGCTCCACAATGCTTTTTTTTTTTCCTCCGAGTGAGGACTGGGATATGGTTAAAGTTGCCACAGTGATATTGCATTATTAAGTAATTTACGTACACATTCCACCTTAAAAATTGCTGGAAGTCGGCCCATTTTACAGTTCTATGCTATGAACAGTGGTTACATAAGCCTCAAAACCAGCCACAACTTGGCCCTGAGCAGAGTGATGGTCCGCTATTGACCAATCAACAGACTGCAGTGTTCACAGCTCCACCTTTTAGTACCAGATCTGTGTGCTAGGTACCCCAACAGAGGGGTGACCAAAAAATGGGGACGGTACATAACCGTTCCATTGGTACCATCCACAGCTTTTCACAGTGGAAACAGGAAAAAAAGCATACCGAACTGACCTGTACCCTACCGTACAGCTCAGCGGGGCTTAGGTATAATTGGATGCAAAGCCCAGCGCTTGCTGTGTCCACAGCATACTTGGGTCCGACTAAGAAGCTAATACAAAAATAAAGCTACAGCTACTCACTGCCACTGGAGGTGGGACTTGCACAGTGATGTCATCAGTGTCCACAGGAGAGTCCAACCACGGCCTTTCATCTGATGACTGACTGTCAGGATAGCCCTTTCTTTTGCCTGGCTGTGACAGCTGACTCTTGGACCTCCTGGGGATACTTTCCAACTCTTGGTTCTCACCATTCTGCAGTAAACGATAAACAAACATATTATTAGAGGGGGATTGATAACTGTTTGGGGAGAGGTGTGTGGGCCACATTTACAGGCACATTTCTCTCCTGGGTGTTGTACTGCAATGTGAGAAAGATAAATCACCTTGTCTGAGGAGTATTTCCAGAGTTCTACACTGTCCATGCTGTTTCTCTTGGTGAATTTGGGTCTTGCTCCTACAGGGAAAAAAAATAACATAAACATTACTACATAAATTACTACATGATAAAAAATGTATCTCCCAGCTGTAGAATCTCTCAAATACTCCAGTCTAAAATTAAATCAAGCATGCAAGGCGCTCTTTGTCTTTTCTCATGTCAGCATTGGTCTCATGATGCTCGGTGTGGATATGAGGTTAAGGCAGACAACCAAACAATCTGAATAAGAGTCTGTTTGCCAGCTCCGCATCACCGAGAGAAATGTAGGACACGGGTGTAAGTTTCTGCCCAGAGGAGGGCTCCTGAAAGCAACACCACACAAAAGCCAGGCTGACTGTACAGATAAAGATCGTAGAGTTTCTCTTTTAAACTTTTCAAATGCTCCCATTATTATGAGTTGAAGGGAATCTCTAACAATAATAATCAATTTTATTGTTTGAGGATAATGTTGACAACAGACTGTGAATCAAAGAATCAAATCATCATCCTGAAACTGGGGGTAAAGTCAGAAAAGTTCACCTTACCCCAAAAATGTACACACTCTTTGCTTTCTCTCATATTTAGCCCCAGTCTAGACATGACACAAACACTGTCTGTCTGTTAGGTCTGTCTCATCTTAACTTAGTTTTACACTTAAATGGCCACCTTATATACACAAACAGCATTCCAGTTAGCTTACTCAAGCCCACATGTTATTTTTGTTAAACATTCAAATTCAAAGAGCAGACACAAAAATAAACAAACAAAAAAATACTTAAAAAAAACTACAGTTAACAGACTTCAAACTCTATTTTTAAGATTTGGTTGATAAATGCCCATTTACTGAACCCCTGAGTCAAGTTTCTAACGTTAAAATCCCTTATACAATTTCCAAGAGCTCTATAGCCATTCAATTTTTTATTATTTTTTTCCCCATTTCTGTGAGATGGAAGGGCAAGTACAGCTTGAAGACAGCTTCGCCTAACCACAGTTTGCAGCGAGCAAGCAAATCATGGGTTTGCATTCACATTCAAACACACACACACACACACACACACACACAAGCACAGAGACAATACAAGCAGAAAAACACAGAACTGGGGTTTTTTCCATTAGCTGCCCCCTCTTCCTCGCCATGACTAAGGAAACTGAGTGCACTTGGCCTGTCCCAGTAACTACTTTTGTTGGATGATGTATTGTCCCACAAATAATTGTGATAAATAATACAATTGTGATTTTAAGATCAAGTTAGGCCACTGATAAAATGATTATATAATAGCACAATAAGGGCAATATGGTAAGATATATGGACATGACCTCCATAGTTTTGCTGACTTCGATAAGTCCATAAGATAATTATCGTGACAGGCCGAGCCTGCACAACGTTAAAGAAATCAGGTTACATGAGCGCACATAAAACACTGGTGGAGAAGTCAACAATGGCCCGAAGTTAACTTCAGTCTCAAGTTCACTGCGTCATTATTTCATTCCATGTTTAGCATGGGCACAAGATTCTTTTCTTTGCATGTTTGTTTTACCAAATCTGTGATTGTATATGAATTTACATTCTACATTACTACATTAATGTCAGATGTTAATTTAATGCACAGAATTTAATTTACAGAGCGTCTTCTGGCACCAGCTGTGTTATGTGCAAACCTTATTATTGCTCATCAGGTCATTATTACTTATGGGTTGGGTATCAAATGCTTACGTTGTTTTTTAATGACAATCGATATTCCTGACAAATACATTCAATAGATATACATTTTACTGTTAATAGCTGCAATTAAAGCTCTCCAGTAACACTGAAAACTATGACTCTGTTACATTTAGACTGATATTGTTTAATGAAACTGACACTGCCTGTCTGCCTATCTCATTATCTGAACAACTATAATTAGTGGGTGCAGGGTCAATGTCAAGTTTTAATGGCAGGTTTCCAGTATCTCTCCATTACTAGCATTCAATAGAGAGTATATGACAAACATACAATTACGGGGCTCTCCAAAATCAGACTCTCCAACTCTGGGAATTTTTTTGTGTGTGCCTCTAATCATTCAACATTTTGGAAAATACACTTATTTGCTTTCTTGCCCAGAGTTAGATAAGGAGATTGATACCACTCTCATGTCTGTCTGTTAAATATAAAGCTGAAGTTAGTCAGCTTATAATCGCATGTAGACTAGAAACAGGGAAAAACAACTAAAGCTCAACAATTTAACACATTATGTCTCATATAATAGGTAAAATAAAATAAGTTTCAGCATCACCTTGCATCTCAAACTCTGAGCTGGAAGGTGAAAGGTCGCTCTCATTGACCCCCAGAGCCTCCATCAGCTGCTCCACGTTCATTCTGGCCGTCAGCTCCCCGTTTCTGTCTCCAATCTGAGGAAGAAAGGAAGAGACAAGACGGGTCCAATCAGGTTGAATGCAAAAGGCCTTTACTTCACCGATGGTGCATTTTTCTAGTGTTTGTAAAAGCAAATTCTCACTTCTTTAGAGATGTCCAGGTGCTTCCGGGCATAGTGGAGAGCTTGTTTGTGGTTTCCTAAAGACACATATGCATTTCCCAGACTCCAGCAGGCCCGACCCTCGCCAACCCTAATGAGACATGAACACACAGACAAATGTAAAAACTACCTCTTTGCTCATGTATGTGTGTGTGTATGCATTAAATATTGCTCAGTCTACCTATCAGTGAGCTCCTGGGCTATGTACAGGTGTTTCAGGTGGTAGTCTATAGCCCTCTCGTACTGCTGCAGAAGAGTGTAGGTGTTTCCGAGGCTGTAACAGGCCTGAGCCTCCATCACCTGGTCTCTCAGCTGCCTGGACAGCTGCAAGGTTTTCCTATAGATGAAGAAACAGAAGGAGAAAGGGAGCAAAGGACTTTAGTCACATTTTCAATTTTGCAGACACTGGTTCACTTCCCCATCCCTCCACTAGATGTCAGACTCCCCTCTCTTCTCACCTGTAGTACTCAGTGGCAGTATTGAACTGGCCCAGGAATATCAGGGCATTGCCGAGGTTACTGTAGGCTCGCCGCTCTGCCGCTTTGTCTCCAAATTCTTTGGCTATGGATAATCGCTGTGAATGATAGAGCGAGAAAGGTCAAGTCAAACCAAATTAACACGATATTTTCAACCTGCCTATTAATATTAACAGCTAAATGGCATAAACGTCTTGTGTCCTGTTACCCTGCTTTGCCCTTTTTTGACTCTGTGCACAAGCAGAGACAGTTACACAACTTCAGGTTGCATGCTCTGTCAGGCACGTGAGTCCATGAAAAGATGTGCTGCTGCAGCAGTGGTACATTAAATCATCTCCAGTGATTCCCTTTAAAGGAAGTGTTCTCCCCTCTGTGGCACACTGATAGATTTGTAACAGGGAGGAGAGGAGAGGCCGGCTTCTCCCATGAGAAAACAAGTGGTTTACAATTGAAAGTGACAGAAAACACGGGGGGAGAGAGCTTGCAGCCATGTTTGCAGGTGATTCACCAAGAAACCAATTTCCTACATTTTTTTTCCCAATGAGAGGTCATCAATCTGTGCACACTGTGTGTTAGTACAGGGTGAGGTGAATCATGATCCACTGGAAAACTCACCAAGGTGATATTTACTCGCACAGAGGCTAGGACTGAATGAATGAGACTGTAAAGGATACAATGCAATGACAAAAATAAGTCCCTCCTTCACTACCAAACTGGCCGTGTGAGCCTTGCTATTTTGCATGTAAAATTCAGCCAGTCTGAAGTCTGTGCGAGGCAAACTAAGATCTTTACTCAGCAAGAAGCAACCGCATATAGCCTGCATCTTCACTGAAATGAACAGCAGTGCAGTGTGGGTGTACCTTTAAGCCACAAATCATGCACAACACATGATGCTTGGTTACAACACAACAGTAAATCAAATTTTGTGGTGACCACTAGTTTGCTTCTGGGCTGCACAGTGCCACAGGAGGCTGTTTTATGACTGTGGTGGCCGGTGCTATATGTGTGCTGGGGCAGTAAGTGGAGGGCAGCAGACATCAACAGACTCAACAAACTGATCTGCAAGGCCGGTGAGGCTGTGGAGGTGGAGCTGGATTCTCTATCGGCAGTGTCAGAGTGGAAGATGCTATCTAAGTTACGTGCTGTCTTGGTTGCTTGCTATCATAAAATGCACATATCCCTATATAGTTTCTGTATTTCTGACTATATATTTTTCTATATATTGTTGTTGCTACTTCTTATTTTTCCATTTTCTCAAAAAGGTTTCTCTGTGTATATATGAGCAACTTCAACATGACCCAGTTTCCCTCTGAGGATTAGTGAAGTATTTCAGATTCTGATTCTGAACAGGATGGCGACCACGGTCTGCAAATGTATCATGTGGCACTGTGGTTTCAGGGAGCACGCTCCAAGATCCCTGGTTGAGACGTCATGGCCACACAGAATACACACAAGTCAACCAAAACACCCCAAACCACATTTAAATGTGTATGTTAATGGTTTGGACAAGACGAAGCAAACATGCAGTATCATAGCGAGCTACAGAGTTCGTGAATAGCTGCAAGGTGATTGACCTTGTGTCAGAAGCAAAGCGCTGTTGCTCTGGCACCACAAGGTCACTGTTCTGCTCCGGCACAGGCTGATAACTCTTATCTGTGCACTGGTGGTATAAACATGATGCTTGTAATTATCTTGAATTTCTCACCTGACGGTGGAACTTGATAGCTTCGACAAAGTTTCCCAGCAGATAGTGGGTGTTACCCAGGTTCCCATAGGCCCTCCCCTGAGCAGCTCGGTCTCCAAGTTCTTTGACCAAACACAGGTTCATCCTGCAGAGATAAGGACACGTCCAATTTAGAAGCAGCATGTAAACAATTTTATGGGTATTAAGGGGAACTCAGACAGTGATTAGTATTGTCGCCTCACAGCAAGAGGGTTTGAACCCCAGGGTGGGGGAGCCCTTCTGTGCAGAGTTTGTGTCAGTGAGGGTTTTCTCCAGGTACTCCGGCTTCCTCCTACAGTCCAAAGACATGCAGGCGAGATTAATAGGTGACTCTAAATTGCCCGTAGGTGTGAATGTGAGTGTGAATGGTTGTCTGTCTCTATGTGTCAGCCCTGTGATAGTCTGGTGACCTGTCCAGGGTGTACCCTGCCTCTCGCCCAATGTCAGCTGGGATAGGCTCCAGCCCCCTCAAAACCCTTAACAGGATAAGCAGTTACGGAAAATGAACTGAATTGAATGAATAAATTTGTAAATTCATTAACAGCTAAATAAAGGCCTATACCAGAGACCATCTTACGATGGGATCACACCAGCCCGGACGCCGATCTTCGATATTAAATGATTGTGGGCCAGGGGTGTAAAATGGTCATTTTTATGCACCACTTATCTGGAACCAATTTCCAACAGCAGCAAGTCTGCTGCAAATCTTAAGGTCTTTTCAATGAAGGCTGGCGACTTTTCTGTTTGTTGCTGCCTTCTATCAAATCAAATATTTATGCATTTCTTACACTGCACTGAAGTTTTTATCTTATATTTTATAACTGTCTTAGTATATTTTAGCTTTTTTTTATCTTATATTTTCTGTCTCTTTGCTAATTTTTTAAATCATATTTAAATGTCCTTTTATGCATTTCTTTTGCACTTTGTCTCAATGCTTTTGGTGTTTTATGTAGAACACTTTGAATTGCCTTTTGCCAAAATGTGCCATATAAATAAACTTGCCTTGCCTTCCCTACTTCCCTACTTACACTTGGTCCACACCCGTCTTCAAACTCAGCCTTCATTGTGATCTCAGCTACACACTGTAAAGTTTCATGACTGCATCTTGCACAGCTGTGATGCTATTGTGGTGAAAAAAATCTGTCTCCAGACAGGCAGATTGACATAAAGACACCTGGCAAAACACACAAAACCACTTGTGTAGTAGCTCCAGCCACAATGGGTTCCACCAGGAACACATGTTGCCGTGACGACACAAACAGACATACACTGACTCGCAGGGTGAAAACAATACCAGTCCCATTGTTGCTGCTGGTTAGATATATATCTAAACACTGGTGTAAAACAATCCAATAACTTCATTATGGTTAGTTATACAACACACTAAAAGCTTATTGTATTTTTTCATATGATAATAAAAATGACTAATTGAGCCTCTAATAAGCACCTTGTATTCATGTGTGAATTCTCATTCACATCTGACAATTACTCAATTTGATGTGAACTGCTCCACTGTAAAAACAAAACGGTTTTAATAGGACCTCGATAATTGCCCTGTGAGATGAGCTATTATTATGTTCTATTATGTTTTATTTATCCAGGCAACACCAAACGTGCACGCTATTTTTCAGCACCAACCTGCGTTCACATTTATGGAGCTACACACACTCCCAGCAGTAAGTTGCCTTTTCCAGTAAACCTTTACAAAATATTTATCACTGCCACAATTTTTTGCATTTTGTAGCTTGCTTGTAGCTTTTAAATTGACTGCATCCAGTCCACAGTGTATTATATTTGTTACTATTATTTCCTGATATATAATTTACTCAGTAAGGATTTGCCTTCCTGGCAGAGGCACTCCAGATTGACACTTACTGCATTCAATATAGTTTAAATGTCATTGAGAGTCTACCAGTGATGAATATAACTGGAATCCCATGATTCAGAAAGAAATGTTGTATATCTAGATAAACTTGCATATTATAGTGGAAATTATACAATCAGAAATTCAAGAACTGTTGATGTGGAGATAAAATTTGTGTGTGATATTCTTAAGAGATCAGGGTGAGAACACTCTTTGCAAAAGGCTGTTGTCCAACCAAACTGAGATATTGACTTATCTGATTAATCTGCAAAGCTCTTCAGCTGTGAGGGAAGATCTTGTAAAACAACAGCAGTCAGTGTGGTATTTCATAAGACTTGGCTATGATGCAGATTGGCCTGAAGGAGCTGTTTTTAAGAGGAGGCAAACATGAACCTGGAGTTTGCCAGAAGGCATATGAAGTGCTGAGAGCATGGAGTACATTATACTGTGGTCTGATGAAAATAAAGTGAAATCCGTCTATATCAAATATGCACACAAATCAAGATGTGCCACACAGGAACAGATGTATTTCAGAATAACAGAAGGCAGAATAATGGCAAAAGGTGAGTCAAAGTAGGATCAGAGCAGCGACACATGCTAATTTAAACCAGATTTCCACATGTAACTTTGGACAAGCAAAATACCCTATATGCATCAATGTTTTATGATTAGTTTTCTGCATTAAATTGATTTCAACATCACAAAATACAGTTATACACAGTTATACGTTATAGGATACCTCTGTGATTTAAGGTGCTTTCACACCTGCCCTGTTTGGTTCAGTTCAATCAAACTCAAGTTCATTTACCCCCTAAGTGCGGTTTGTTTGGGCAGGTGTGAACACATCAATCGCACTCGGCTGCACACCAAAACAACAAGACCGAGCAAGAGCAGCTTTCTCATGCAGGCATTTGATCTGGTCTGTTTGTTAATGCTACCGTGAGAACACGAACCAACTCAAGGCAATTACACAACTTTGTAACAAAATTAGTCCCTGATTCAGACCAAAGCAAGACAACTCTAGGTCTGAAGGCACCCTTATATTTATGTTGCATACATCCATATGTTGTATGAGTTCATTTCTCAACAATACATACTCATAAAATCCAGTAGCCCTTTGCAGTGTGTCTCTGACATCAGCAGGCAGGTCCCCTGGTTCCTGGGTGCAGCCCCATAACTGCTGTTTGCCCTTTGCGTGAAAGACATTCCCTATGTTGTACAGTGCTCTGGCCTCTCCAACCTGCAATAAGATAAGACACAGAAAAGGAAGAGATTAAAAAGGAATACAGAGAGGTCTCTTATCTAAGATCAGATATCAAGATATGTGTATTATTATACTAACTCCTATTAATCTTAAACGATTGAATGAAGGAGCAAATGAACAGTACAGGCAGCAAACTCGATGGACTCTTAAGAGATACTATTAGAAAAAGCGACACGTTACCTTGTCTCCCTGCTCTTGAGAAATATCCAGATGTCTTTGACAGCACACAACGGCCTCATCAAAGCGCCCCAACACTTTTAATGTGTTCCCAAGGTTGCCGCTGGCTTTCCCTTCTCCAATTCTGTCTCCTATTGTCCTGAGAAAGCAAAGAAACATTTCTGATGATCAGCTGTGGGAGCAAAGACGACAGTTTTCCTATGCTAATGTCATTTAGTTAAAACGATATCCATTAAGGTGCTGTAAAAGGTTTTAATGGGGAGATGCTGTGTAATACATTTTTAATTGGTTGCTTACTACCTAGGAAGAGGTCCCAGTGGCCCTGGTGAGACTGTAATGTAACAAGGTAAATCTCCCTGGGGACTTTGATGAGTTCCCTGCTGAAGTAGCAGCTGCACACACTGCAGGGGACCGGATTACTCATACAAGCTAAATATCCAGCTGGTAGTTGTCAGCTGTTACTATATGAAAGTCCACTCACTTTTGCTTTGAATTCTTCTAACTCAGCATAATGCAATCCCTAATGCTCTTATGAGTATGCATCTGATAAAGTAAATTAAATTTGTCAGGGGTGGTAGCCTGAATCATTCTTTACTGGGACTATCGGTACATCAAATGGAAGATTCATCAGCATATCATTCATCCTGTATATATAGAGGTCCTACTGCATAAATGAGCTGACTCTAGTGACATGATTTGGCTTCAAAGCCTTCTTAATTAAACAGAATTTAAATCATTACTAGACCACAACTAAAGGGATTCATTTTTTATTGTATTGCAGTCAGACTTCAGAGGGCAAAAGCAGAATTTCTGTTTTAATTTGTTATAAATTATATTGTTTCATCTGCAGCTGTCACTGATGTATCAAAACCATTTTGAGATAAAGAATGTGTTTTTTAAGCTTTGCAGAGTGTCCTCATGTAACTGGTAACAAGATGTTTCTGTCTAACGGTATATCACAGCGGAATCTACAGGTCAGCGAAAAAAATCGATACACCATAGTATCATGATATTTTTGTGTGCCAATATCGTATGGTCATAAAGACACTATCGATTTTTTTATCATATAAATTATTAATATTACAAATACAAATTAAACTTTTGGTAGCCTTCTAGAATAATATAATATATTGCTTTTCAGTCCACTAGATACATTTTACTGTTGAAAAAAAAAGCAGAAATCGCAATATATCGCAATAAATTTTATCGCAATACTCAGCAATTCACAACATATTTAAAATTGCAATAACATTGTATTATGACTCAAGTACCGTAATAAAGGGGTGATTCCCACCCCTAGTGCCAATCACATTTACAGTGATCAACCAATTCCATGGATCAAAAAGTTTTAGACAGTATCATTCCTGTACAAATGCTGATTAAATAATTTGCTTAAAGTAATCAAGTAGTTTGCTTACAGTGTTCATTTTTGGGTCTTTTCATGCATGACATGGAAACATATGGAAAAATGGTGTAAAACTATGGTTTTCCTTTTATTCCCTTTTTTTTTTACTTTACTTTTTACTTTACTCCCATGATACTTTGCCTTTCGGTAACCTGTCTGCTTCCAGCTGGCTATCTGAGGCTGGTGCTGTGTGCACATTGAAATCATGACGGGACAGAGACAGACATAGACATAGTCTCCTCAAAGCTTGTAACTGCTAGTCACAGCTGCTGGTGATGGAGAGATAAAAAAAAAAAAGCAGATGGGGAAAGCACCTGTGGTTGAAGCCACCCTCTTCATGTGAATTGATAATGCTCAGTCATGTAATGACTGAAGCAGCTGTACTGTATTTTGAAACAGTCAATAAAAATTCAATACTGAAGCTGTCCGTTTCATAACTTTATATTTCTGTAATAAATGTAGAAAGGCCAATTAGATAGTAATCTGCATGAGAAATAAAGGGACAATGGTTATATTAGTAATCAGCTTATAGTGATCAATTTGACGCTGACAGAAGTGACCACTATAAGCAGTTAACACTGTATTAAAAGTCACAAAAGCACCTTCAGTTAATAATTGGACTCCTTATAGTTTTTATTAATTTCATTTTCTTATCTCTAAGATTCCTTAGTATGCAGATGATACTGTACTCTATTTTAGTGCCTGTCAATTGCCTTGAGCCACCAAAACAAACAAGCAACAACAAATATTTATTTAGTAACTCAAAAACTACACTTTTTGCATGGGCTTCATCTGGTTTTCAATGCTGGGATAAATATAAATAATATATATAAGCTTTTTGCCAAAGCTGGGGAAGTCGTTTGATTTGAAAAGTAATATACAGATGGTTTCTGTTGATCACTTACAGACAAATTTCAGGTTAAGTCCAGGAAAATTTCCCACCATCTAAAATCTGACTGGATAAAATCTGAAAATACCTCTCTCAAATTGAAATGAACACAGTGGTTAGTAAATTGCATAACTGACTTTTCTCCTATAGTAAAAGAAAGTTTGTTCCAGTACCTATTCTCATAATACAGCTTAAAACAAGTAAGGGGCCGTACACATGCCACGTTTCTTGTACGCTCAAATTTATTGTTTTCAATAAGGATGGTCAGCAGGCATGCATCCCGAGGTAAACCGAGTTCAACTTTTGGAACACAGCAGTGCACCCAGCATGTCATGTGAGGAGGAACAACCAATCACAGTCAACAGATATCTTTCCCTTCTTTTATAAATATCAGTCTGTGGTAAATATGGAAAAGTTGATCATTTTGGTGCAGGGCTGCCAGAGCTTTTCATCTGTCCCACACACAATAGGCCTACACACAAACAGTGCCTGGAAGATCAGCTCTGCACTCTGGATTTCAGGTAAATAGGCTACAATAGAGTACTTGTTAGGGTTGCTTAGTGACCTCAGACGCAACCTACCACCGCTCTCTTGAAAGCTGGCTCAAAAAAAGCCCAAAATTTGCGCCCAGTGCCTGACCTCGTGTTTTCCAGGTGGTTAAAGATGCGGCATGTGTACAGCCCCCAATGGCAGCCTGACACCAACTTTTACTATGCAGCAGGTAGCAGCTATCAAAAGGTACGATTCTTACCTGGCCAAAGTAAGGTCATGTTTGTGATATTCCAGGGCTTTGCCATACTCTTTGAGGTAGAAGTAGGCATTGCCCAGCTGGCTGTAGATGGCACTGAGGGTCTTCAGGTCTTCTGTGCCGACCTGCACGGCTGCCTCAAAAAACGCTGTTCCGCCTTTGAAGTCTCCAGCCTTGCAAAGCCGCTCTCCTTCCAAGGCCAACTCCAAGCAGGAGGCCTCCATTCTAAATAGTGCACGCACAGGTTTGCACATGCACACAGGGAAAGACAAAGAACAGTGTTAGCCTATGAGCACCATCAGAGATAGAACAATGTACAGTAATATGGACACTTATTATAGCGGCAGTGCAATATCTTCACAGAGCGAGGAACAAATTGCCAGTATCACCATGACAACAAGGTCTGTTGCTATATCTGTGGACTGTTGCCTTAGCAACTGATTTAAAGTCTCAGTGAAAGAGCACCTTGAAAAGGTGTTGCACTTTGCTTTCTGCTCGTTACTGCTCATATCAGCTTCTTTTTTGGAGTCTGATTCATAAAAGACGTACAGTTATCTAATGGGTGGACAATATCAATGTGTTTGCTAAAGAATAAGAGTAATTTATTAACTGATATTGTTCATAGTCCATGTGAACACTGGAGAAAAATCAACAGAACAGCCTAATGTTGGTCATTCCTGTGTCAACAAGTGACAATCCAAGTGTATCTCTGCTTCCCTACATAGCTGAAGTGAAATATAACTGAAGCGCTATTTTCCAGAAATCAAAAGCTAAGTCAGGAGGAGTCTTTCCACCACCTCTACAATGCCTACGTTACCATGGCAACTGCCGGATCAATGATGCTGACTCAGGGAATGTAAAAGAAATGTCAACTTTTTGTCTATTGACAACTTCCCTGTTGTTCAGGGGACATTTCATCATTGTCAAGTAGTTGATGGAGCCTATTTTAATAATGCATTAAGCAAGTATACTGTGTATGGGTACTATTTTCTTAGATGCTTGGTCAAAATAAACTCAAGAAGAAGAATTTCAATAGACAAGATATTGATGTATCAAGCCAAAAGTGTTTTTTGTGTGGTCATAAGACAAGAGATTGTACTACTACTGGGTCCTTAAACCCATTCACACACACAGCACTCAGTCACAACATGCACGACTCGGCCTCGCCAGTGAGTCGTATTCAGAAAGTACACACCCCAGATTCATTGTATAATCCAGGATAAACTAAAGACCAGCAGATTTGGTTGCAGCTCTAAATTCCAGATAAGGTACTAGAATGTAGAGTTAAGCAAGGATTATCCTCCAATCTAATCTGTTTTACAAATGTCACCATTCAAAAGTATGGCAAAGAGACCATATGTAGTTTCACCCACAGGTTCAGTGAAAAAGTCAAAAAGTGCATTTGTTTCATGGGTGCACTGAAGAAACACTTTACGTCCTCCACTTCTTTACAGTCCTCTTCCATAAAGTTTATCATTCTGTTCTGTATTTTCTATTTGCACTGGGCCCCATCTTATTTTTTTAACATCATTTTATTTCATCCATCTGTTCCCATTTTCTTTATATTCCCTCGCTACAATGCACACCAGACATGATTATGCTAGGGACACAGAAATGTTTCATTTCACTGGCACTTAAAATTCTATTTTGATTCCTAGTAACATTCATCATTTAAAATTTAGTTAATCCCAATTCACTCAACACAAGCCCTTTTGTATCTTGTTACATAGTCTGAGCAATATATCAAAATCATATCGATATCACGATGAGGCTAGATATCGTCTTTAGTTCTTAATCGTAAGTGTGGTCTTTTCCTGGTTTAAAACACTGTGTTACTGTAAAGTGATTTAATTTGAAATTAGACTGTTATAGCTTTTATTTTTTGCCTTTACCCGCTTTGTCATTATATCCACATTACTGATGATTATTTATTAAAAATCTCAATGTATAAATATTTTGTGAAAGCACCAATAGTCAGCCCTACAAAACTGTTGCAATATCAATATCAAGGTATTTGGTAAAAAAATATTGTGATACTGGATTTTCTCCATATCACCTGGCTCTACCAAAAAACATAACTGTAATCGCAATGGTAGACATTATTCAATGCCAAAGGGATTTATTTTAACAGCTAATTAACAGTCATTTCATTGACAGTGTGATTTTCTAGTCAAATTTTCTCAACTTCTCCCAATCTGGAGTAAGTGTCCTCATCAAGGTCATTGGGTTTGCACGACCTTCCATGTAAAGCAACAAAAATCACCACAGAATTGGACGTTTTCATTGCTCAAGCAGTACCTGTGTTTTTGCTTGGTTCGTGTTTTGTTCACATACACCTGCAGCTCCAAGTGTAGCGGCCTTAGCATAGCCTGGGGTCGGGGTCCACAGTGGACCAGTCTACACACAGCTTTCTCTGCTCCAGACAGAGGGCAAGGCTCAGAAGCCATGAGGGCAAGGGTTAACAAGGGCAAGCTATGTCAAAAAATTCAGAAATGAGCAACTCTTTATGTAGATATTGCAGTTCATTCAACCAGTACAGCCATCACTGATAATGCAGTGCTGATATGGATCATTGAGATGGAATTTCCAGCTAATAGTTCCTCTGTTACAAAGTCCATATTGTCCGTAGGAATGAAAATGTCAGCAATGTTGCAGCAAAGCTGGACACAATCCAACTGTAATTTCTACACACAGCCCCAGACCAGCCAAGAATCACATCTGCTTCTCAAGTCCTCGAGAACGCTCCAAAAATTCAGCGATGAACTCTTTGCTCCCATAGCTGAACCAGTCAGGAGGGGATTGTAGAAAAATCCACAAAAGAGCAGTTTCATTTACTGTTGTATTTATTAGCAAAAACATGCTGATATAAAAGTCTACAACGGGGCATGTTTCACTAGTCCAAATGAAGTTAATCAAGAAGTTGAGTTCTCCACAGCTGTTTGGTCATTCAGTTCTTACTTTCCAACAGAAATGTGTCCTCTCTTATCATCCTCTTCAACCTGTCCTTAGCTGTGACAGCAAGATCCATGGCTCCTGCCAGGCCATTACAAGCCACGCTGTAAAAGAGGGAGTGTTCAATCTAAGAACAATTTGGGTGAGAGCAGGGGTGCAGTCAGTGACGAGAAAGTGGGTGCAATACGTCTAAGCTTGACCACTGCCTCAGTGAGAGATAAAGAGGAAGGATGAAAGAGAAGACAATTGCTAATCCAGTGACCTGCACCTCCTTGGTAGAGACCACACTGTGCACTGATTGGTCGAGACTAATCCAACTATCTGCTGACACAGGCAGAAACATTATTAGGTCACCAGGCAAGACAAATAAGACTGTGCGTAAAGACAAGGTAAGGGACCTATAAATATCAAGACTGTGAGTGCTTACATTTTCAGTTACTTTCATTATGAATAATGTTCATTTTTTAGGTTTCCTTGCTAAAAATCCTCAAATGTATTTTGATTTTAATTCCTCCTACAAGTAATGTAGCAAAAAAAAAAATTCATTTCCATATCATAAAAAAAATCCAATTTAAGGTTTAATATTGCATGCAGAATCTTCACTGAGTAAACTGCTTGGTAACTCACCCACGACAAACGCAAGTGAGCATGACCTGATGTGAACTTGTACGGTGCCAAAACACAGCTGACCTACACTCAATCCTGTGCCTGAACGCATCCTGTGCACACAACCATGGAGCACTGAAGCTGCTGCTTTGCGAATGGGCCATTCACGCTACGCCTCCCGTGTTGACACAGTAAGGCCACGGAAACCCCATACAGGCTTACCAGAGTAACTAATAACATTAACAATGGCTCTGTTCCATTTAGGGATGAGAGTAAGCCATGAGAGCATGCACAATACCCAGGTCCTTCCGCTGGAATACCTCCATATCTTTAGCCACGAGTCATTTTATTAACTAAACCTGTGTGTTTCCTGACATGTTAATGCCTGCCAGGAAAAAAAAAAAATCTATGGGCCTTACATGGCATAGCAATATCAAACATCAAAATTTAGATACACTAACAACATACGGTGTGTGTGAAAACTAGAATTATGGCCCTGTGGTTGTATGCCTTCGCCAACCAGTAGTTGTAGTTCACATCCACATCTGTCCAGTCATACAATAAAAAAGCTTTAAGTGCATTTTTGGGCAAAATGGAAGTTATCTATTGAAGGTTAAAAAAAATAAATAAAAAGAAAGAAAACTCAGAACATCCAAGACTAAAGTCATATATTTATGAGGATAAAACTCAGAAATGTTTTGAAAATATTAAGCTATACATTTGCAAAAAAAACTTGAAAATAGTGGGGGATTTTTGTTTTGTTTTGTTTTTTGGTCAAGGAACCATATTTCTCCAATTTGCAAGGCTGGATCAACCTCATCACACCACAGGGAATCTTAGCAAACACTGAGACATCCATCAAGACGTAATGATTTAAAATTAGTTCCAAAATAAAAGTTGTACCGACTTCTAAGACATTACCTGGCCATCAGCTAGATGTCATTCCTGGATGTCCTAGAAATCTGACATTAACATCAACAACCCTATTCTGCTTTTCTACTTTAGTTTATGTACACTTTGTGCATTTAGCAGCTTTATACATCCTAAAAACTGAAAATAAGTCAACTAAATCTAAAAATAATAATCCATTGTCTCAAACTGGACACAAACCCCAATCTCATGGGTGAAAGTCCTTTCCTTGACCTATTTAGCCACCAAGACTCTCACCTTATTCGGACTTTGTCGCTCTTTATATTCCCTCACCTGACTTTCTGGCAGTTTATCTCACAGAATATTCAAGGTTTTTCTTGGTTTTTCTTCATTTTTTTCTTGTAAATGTATGACTTTAATCTCAGAAATTCCCAGTTCTCTTAAGTTTTTCTCTGAACATTACCCCCCTCCCCTGGTTCCGTTTTCATTTTGTTTTTCTTTTTTACTTACCATGGCCCTAATATATCATTGTACTACATTGACTAGAGTTGCAACAGTATGAAATTTTCATGGTACGATAAAGTTCTCAGAAAATATCGCAGTTCCATGGTATCATGCAATTGCAGAATTATATTATCATCAGTCAGAATGACTCTCAACAGAATGAAAGCAGAAGCGTTATTGTTGGTTGAACAAATGTTTTATTAGGATAAGTGAAACCTGAAACCATTTTGTTAATGGAAGTACATGTAAAAAGTCTCCCCTTTGAAAATAACTAGAGTAAAGGTGAGATTCAA